CCCTTGACTGTTTCTTTACACAGTGCAACACTTCATAGCATGTGCTATCTAAACAGCATATCAACATGGAATAAAAGTTTGCTTCCAATTTATTCTTGTAACTAGAAAGAACTCGGAGCGTACATGCCTTTGATAAGGTGGTAGAACTACATTTGTTTGTAGAAACATTTTAAATCTGCATGACCATTTGGGATAATGAAAATACTGACAGGTATACAAAGTTATGTGATACAAATACAAGATTTTTAATTGAAGTACATGCACTTCTTCCTTGGCCCATCAGCAGCCTAGAGGAAATGAATACACTATTAACCTCCTGCAACAGCTTTGGTAGTGTCAGTTTGTGGTTATGACGTTGACAAGTTTCAACCTATAAGTAGTAGGAAACTATGCAGTTGCAAACAAACTTTCACTGGGTGTCTTCATATGGTCGTTTTGTTTCTGAAAGCCACTATTCTTGGTCTTTCTGAAAACAACACACTCCTATCACTGGTTACCCAGACAGACAATACATTAATAACACAAACTAATCTCTGCAATGGTTTCCATACCTTTAATAAAAAAATATACTGAGCTCCATGCACAAGCCCAAGGTTGCTAACATGTAACGATGCCTGAAGGAGTAAAAAGAGAAATAACCAGATCCAATGCAGTCGATAACATACCTAACAAATAAATGTATTAAATTCATACAAAAATGCTGTAAATCCAGTAATGTCATAACACGGTCCTGCTCATTGTTTTACAACACTGCCCACAATCGCCTTAATTCAAACAAAGATATTTAAGGGCAAGGCAATGGTAGGAAAAAAAAAAAACTGGTACGCATGATGCGTCACCTGACAGCATCTGAAGGCAGCAGCACTGAATGGACACACCCAAAGCAGGGTGAAAGGCCAACCATCAGAAGAAGAAGAAATGGAGACATGGCAATCATTTAAATATGGGGATAACGCACAACAGTTTATTATTAAAGAGCCTTTCCTGGAAGATACAATACTGTTGTATTTGGTTTTACATGCAAAAAGTAACAAATGGTTTTATGGGGAGGACTCGACAAACCCTGCTTACTTGCCCATCATCACATACCTGGCTAATCGCTGCTTAAATTTGGGTGTGAATGCTGGTTTGTCAACTTCAGAACATAACAAACTGATGAACACAACTGACAGTTAGCACAATGTCCAGTACAAACATAAATAAAAAGATCATCCAGTCCCACTAAGTTTTCATACAACACAGTAGCCTTTCTCAAATCACAGTGGACAAGGCCACGGCAGTGGTGGCTTCCACACACATCAGTCCTCACAAAATTCAATAATAAAACCTGAGCTGACCTTGGTAATAAATAAATAAAACTTCTGTCTATGGGCTGAGCATAATCTCACATAGACAAGAGCGATCATATTCAATTAAAAATACATCTCAGGTCTTTAAAGAGGGAAAATGAATCATTCAGTGGGTTACAGTTACAGTGGGTTCAGACAATATTATAGCTGCTAGACACTGAAACAACAGAGCATTTAAGACACTCTTAAAGACATGTGGCTTAGTCCCA